CCGGTGGACGGTCTTATCCCTGGTTCTCTGGAAGCAGAGCCTGAGGCAGAGACTTACGCGTGCACGTACTTGGGTGTGAATCCAGGGGCAAAGGCGTTATAGGGGGAGTAAGCAGGCAGGTGGGGTCATCAGTTCAAGGTGACTTCAGCTGCTACCTAGATGGAAGGAAGGAGCCATGTTTATCCGATGGGTCTCTACTCCCTGCTCAGCGGTGCTCATTAAGCACCCTCACTTCTGCATGCTTATGCCTGTGCTCAGGGGGTGGGAGAGGCCCACGCTGGCCACAGGAGGATCGCTGTTGGGAGTGAGGCTGCTGGAAGCCAGCATGTCGCTGATCGTCCAAACATGGCGGGACCAACACGTGAGGCTGGGAGGTGAAGGGGAGGTGTGCAGGACCCAGGCCAGCAGGGTGGAGAATCTCTTCCCTCCAGCCCCGGCTCCTGCCACTTTCCCTCTTGTACCCGCGTTTCGCTGAATGCCAAATTACTGCGGTTTCTCGAATTGGCCAGGACTCTTAATTACAAGGGACAGAAACCAAGCTCATAACTGCTTGAGCCCAAACGTGCATTTGCTGGTGCCTGTCAGTGAACTGGCTTTAGGTATAGCGGGATCCAGGGGCTCAGCTGATGCCATCAAATCTCTCCCTTGCCCATTTTTCAGTTTGCCCAGTTTTTTCTACTCTTGGTAATTCTTTCCTTTGTAGTGAGAAAAAATGGGCATCAACAGCCATAATTTAAGGTCGTTCTGGGTTAGCAGCTCCAGTGGGGGAGGAGAGCCTTCTCTCCCAAGGTCGGTATCTGTCCCAGGGAAGGGACCAGTGATATCAGGTAGATCCCCCGCACACCCGCAGACAGTCACAGGGCCCGGGGCTTGGAGGTGCCGTGAAGGTTCCTCCCGGTCCCGTGCCCACCGTGGTACCCACAGTCCCAATGGGGGCACGTGGGCGGGTGAAGAAAGTGTTCTGCAGAAGAAGACACATGCTTTTGTCAACAGAAGGGGCCAGGACCTGGACCAGCAGGGATACGGCGTGTCCATGCCGCGATGCACCCCACGCTGCATCCAGGTGCTAGCCCATTTCACAGCTTTTTCCAGAATGTTCTTCATTCCCTTAAGAGGAAGAATTCCCTGACTCCTGCGCACCACATCCTGGCTGGGTTGACCCCCAGCTCTCTAACCCCCTCAGTTTCTACAGCACCCGTGTGCTGCCCACACACCCTAACACACGGCCAAGTCCGGCCACATGGGACACGCGCAGCTCGGGCAGCTTCTCACAGATCTGCTGGTTTCTGGAAGGCGGTGTGCTGGGGGAGGGGCCGTTATGGGGTGAAGAGAATGAGTGTTAAGAACTAGCAGTCTGGGGGCACCTGGGTGGCTCAGTCGTTAAGCATCTGCCTTCGGCTCGGGTCATGATCCCAGGGTCCTGGGATCGAGCCCCGCGTCGGGCTCCCTGCTTGGCGGGAAGCCTGCTTCTCCCTCTCCCGC